CTGACACCCCCAGGAGCATACGGCGCGGCCGCTCAGCTGACCAGGGCTGGAACGCCGCAGCCGACGCAGAGGAGAGGCGTGGGGGAGCAGGGGCGGATCCAGAGGGAGGGGCACGGGGTCATGCCCCCGCTCCCCCTGGGCCCCAAAGGAGCCCACAGGCTCCAAAGCGGCCCAAAGCAGGCCGAATAGATGCTTTTTTAACCACAAAGCGCAACAAAATTGGATGTCTTTGGGCTTTCAGTCGTCCAAGACGCAAGTCCAAATCGCAAGCGAAGGTGAAGGGCCCACGAGTAGAAAGGCTTTCAGTCGTCCAAGACTAGTCGCAAGCGAAAGTCAAGGGCCCGCGAGTGGGCAAAAATTTTCTTTGCTGATTGGGAGAGTCGTGATCGGGATATCAGAAGGCTTATTACGCTGTTCAGTGGCCCTAAACTGTTTCCGGGGGGGGGGGGGGCTATATGCACACTTGCAGGGTCAAACTGATCGTTCAGGAGCCTTTCGTGCTGCACTTACTTTATTCGCGTTTACCCGGATGGCCTGGACTGTTTCTGAGCCCTTCCTGCTAGTGTGCTGGGGTACCCTTGTCAAACAGGGGCCTTCCACGGATTCCTCCCATTCGCCCGAAAGGCTCTGCACGCTATAGCCGGGACCCCACACGTTAACCTGCCGGGGGTATTCTTGGTTGCTCAGGAGTCCTTCACGTTGGTCTCGGTTAACCTACCGACACACTCGTGATATGCTCATGGGCCCTCTACATCGGCCTAGGCTCCTTCCAATTCTCTGTCACTTGCTTAGGGCCCTCCACTTTCGTCGAGGGTCCATCTGATAGTTTTCTGGGGCGCACTCGGTCGCTCTGGCCTTCCAAATTGGGTCTTGGGTACTTTATATATCGATGGAGGGCACTACACACTTGCCGGGGCTCTATCTGGTCGCATTCTTGGCCAAACTGGATTGTTTGGGGGCCCTGAAAGATGGGTTTTTGAATGGAGGGCCATACGCTCTTGTCGCGGGCCTACCTGATGACCTGCTCGGGCACACTCAGTCGTTCTGGGTTCCTCTACATTGGGCCTTGGGTGTTTCCTACTTTATTGGAGGGCCTTACGTTTTTGTCGGGGGCCCTATCTGTTGACATGCTCTGGCGCACTCGATCGTTTAGGGGCCCTCTTCATTGTGTCGTGGGCATTTCTTATTTGAATGAAGGGCCATGTGCCTCATAGCTGCTAACCTGCTCGGGCACAACCGATCGTTCGGGGCCCTCCATGCTGTGTCTTGGGCGTTTATCTTTTTAATGGATGACCCTATATTATTGGCAGGGCCCCATCTATTAATCTGCTCAGGCCGGTGGCGGATATAGGGGGGAGGGCACGTGACCATGTCCCATCCTATCCGCCACCGGCCTGTATCCGCCACCGGCCTGTATCTGCCACCAGCCTGGACCCGCCACCGGCCTGAATCCAACACCGGCCTGTATCGCCACCGGCCTGTATCCGCCACCGGCCTGGACCCGCCACCGGCCTGAATCCAACACCGGCCTGTATCGCCACCGCCCTGGACCCGCCACCGGCCTGAATCCAACACCGGCCTGTATCGCCACCGGCCTGTATCCGCCACCGGCCTGGACCCGCCACTGGCCTGAATCGCCACCGGCCTGGGCAGCTTCATAGATGGGGCCCTGCCAAGAACAAAGGGCCATCCATTCAAACTGGCCACGACACAACGTCCGGTGTTGAATAGTCGAGGGAAACTCTGCATAATTTATCTGCAGCAGAAAAGGCAGACGCGTTAACCCTATGAGAGGATGACAGACATTTCGCCACCAGCAGCAGCCAACTCAGCACGCCTTACGGTGGCGAAGGTCATTAGGCCCAGCAGGTCAGAAGGTCAGTAGCGGAGGTCAGTAGGGTCACGACTTGACCGACGCGCATCGCCAGTGCATCAAAATCGCCGCAGCAATGTATGCCATGGAGACCAAAATGCTTTATTAAAGCCCCGATATTGACCGAAATAAACAGAAAATCATTATATTGATAAGCAGGAGACCAAAGTTACAGAAAGGAACACAAAACGGCTGATGGCCCGGAATCGACCTTAAAAGATATCATTTTCTGATCAAAATCGTGCAGTTTGGCACGCTGCGCACGGTCGTCCCGCGCCCCGCGCAACAGCACGCTACTGGCGTCTATAAGTCTCAGCATAGACACATGCGGCTAAAGCGGATACCCTGTGCTGCAGAGAGCCGACACATTCAAGTCCCTGGCGCTCTAACAGAGCGGGGACGTTCAAGTCCCTGGCGCTCTAACAGAGCAGAGACACTCAAGTCACCGGCGCTCTAACAGAGCCGACACATTCAAGTCCCTGGCGCTCTAACAGAGCAGAGACGTTCAAGTCACCGGCGCTCTAACAGAGCAGAGACGCTAAGTCACCGGCGCTCTAACAGAGCCGACACATTCAAGTCCCTGGCGTTCTAACAGAGCCGATACATTCAAGTCACCGGCGCTCTAACAGAGCCGAGGTACGCAGCCGTTCGGAGCTCCCCAGAACACAGACAAAACTTGTGTCGGCAAACGTCACATTTTCTCCCAAATCGGGATAATTTTGAGCATGTTCTGGCAAAATCACCCAGCATATTGTCAAAGGCTCTTCGCTGATGGAGAGAGGCATCCCTGGTCCCCTCATCAGGCCGACACCTAGCCGTCCCTGCTGCCCAGGTCAGCTCCCAACAGTCGCCCAGGTCCCCGTCCGGGGCACCGCCGTCGTCCTGCGGGTCTCTTCGTCGGCGGCGCCGCGGCCGCGCCAACCTTGCCGCGCATCCATCATGGGCGCCAAGATTGTCTTCATTAAACGGCCCCCCGCGCAGCACCCAGCGGGGGGGGGGGGCGTTGGAGGGGAGGGGAGAGAGATTCGTGAGCCGCGCGCGAGGACGGCAGGGCGCCCCCCCCCCCCTCCCTTCTACCCCCTGTTTTAGCGGTGGGACGCGCTGCGTCGGGTGTGTTGCGCTACAGTATTTCTCCAACAATGTGCTGCAGGCCTCATGGCATTTCGTATGTAGTTCGGGTAGTAAACGAAAGCATGAATCTTGATAGGCAGGTCTTCGCAACATTATAGTCGGTTGAACGACGGTGAATATTATCTGCCACCCAGACGAGGCACGTCCAAGGGCCGGTCTTGCGCACATGACATTTTACCGGGCCCTTGATATTCTTGTTGTGAAGCTAATTTGCTAACCTCCCTAGGGATGCATTAAACGTGTGTGTGTATACGTCTGTGCAAACAGCTTACATACCACACCCAAAAATCGCAAATATTTTAGCCGATACAATGTCTGTTTCCACCATCGTAAGCATTTTGCATTTTCCCCGGTGTTTATCATAGCTCACTTTTAATGTGACGTTTTCTCTGCCGTTATTTGGTGTGGTTTGTATGGCGCGTCTTGACATTATCGCGGTTCGTATGGTGGTTAAATGCTGATGTTATGTTGGCCCCGGGTTTTCTCCGTCAGCGCCGCTGGATCTGGCCGTCGGGATGCGTCGCTCGCTCGGTCTGTTTGCTCCCGCCGAGTGCCATCTCGCGTCATGTTCTTCGGCGCGTGACCGGTGGCTGCCCACAATCGCCGCCGCTGCACCCCCGTCGACGGATTGCGCTGCGGCACGTGCCCTGCCTGCGGGCAGCTCCCCACCCGTGGCGGTCCACAGGCAGTGCGAGCGAATCGCGACAGACCGCGCTCCGATTTACGGCCACGGGCACGGTGCTCGACAGTGATTACGGCGTCTAATGCTTCCGCCGCGTGCTGTGTTTCAGGGGCGGAGCCAGGCATTGCAGCAGAGGCGCACTGCCCGATGGCACATTTCAAGGACACACGGAATGGAACTGTGTCTAGGGACACGGTCAGCAATTGACTCACTCAGGGTCATCCCCAAAAGTCGACGCTCCCCCCAGGAGCTCTTGCTGGGTGCGCGCCTGCGCGACACGGCCGCGCCCCGAGTCAATGATAACCAGGACTGCCATTAGCATATCAATGCGGCCACACCGCATTCATTGGCGACGACAGACGGTGGTAATTTTGTCCAGACCGAGTGTGAAATGGGTCTCTGATCGGGCAGCGCGGGGGAGAATCGCGGGGAGGGGGGGGGGGGGGGGGAGGGGCGCCGACGGGCGGCCGCGGCCGCAGAGCGTTATCTAATTAGCGCTCCCCACGCGGCGACAGATGAGTCGATGTAATTAGGATCGGGCCGGCCAGATTCCGGCGGCCCATTGGGACGGGAAACGCGGCGGTTAAATCATGTTTGTCCCCGTCCGGCCGGTGGGCATCGCGCCACGCGACGTTTGTGCCCGCGGAATGGCCCGGCGATGGCGAGGCCGGGCTGTTCCGGCGTGATTTCAGAACAGCTGGCCACACTCTCGGGCGGAGTCGCAGGAGGCGACGTCAGGAAGTTTGTGGAAGGCTTTCAGATATGTTTCAGATGCGCGCCTTGGCAGTGTCGTGCTGGTTTAGATACAGCGCCGCGGTTTGGGGTTAAGTGTGCTGCACTCGTTAGGGATTTAAATAGTGCAAACCAGATGCCTGACCTTATGACGATGATCACAGCCTCAGGACATTTGGCTTCCTGAGTATGCCTCAGAAAATGACGCCGTTAACCAGATGTGCTCTTTGAGAGGTGTTGCATAACATAAATGCACGATGTCGAGATTCATAAATAGCTCAACGTGTAAATATTCATAAACATCCGCACGTATTCGCAGATATAAAAAAGTGACAAATGGCTATGGTCGCGAACATCACACGGAGGAGGAGACAGGAGCTCGGTGTGGAACGATTTCAAGGCTTGATGAAAATATCTCCCGCAACATGACGCTCCTTTTTCCAAATGATCGACGTGACGCCATCTCGAAGGGCGATTATGATTCGCTCTCGTGTCGAGCCCGAGGGGTAGCACCGAACGGAATGCGACAATTCCCGCCGGGTATCACGACGCTCACCATTTGGAGCGGCGGCTCGTACTCACCCTGATCTTAGCCTCGGACAAATTTGTGTAGAGCGATATCTCCTCGCGCATACTCATGTCGGGGTACCTGCGAAACAGTGGGCACGGGGTAAGAACAAACACAGGCCTCGAGGCGCGGGTCGGGGGCACGAGCTCACCTCACCGCCGGCGTCGTCTGTTCACCATCGCGAGCTCGCTTGGCTGTAGAAGAATCGACGATGCAGGGCATCCGGCTCAGTGAGCACAATGCAAGACAGGCAGGGCACTTGCGTTGTTACGTAAATCCCATCATAAGCGAATCACAAGCGAGGCATGAGAACAGTCCGCCGAACAACGATAGGGGTTGCATAAGTTTCCGAGCCAAGACTAACATGCAATGTCCATGGCCACAAGGGCACTGGCAACGGAGGCACATGTACGCGACATTTTTCTTAACCAGCAACAGCGTGTTTTCGTACGCGCGTGATGGCTTCCTGCAGACAGCCTGCCCCTGCCCCTGCCCCTGCCCCTGCCCCTGCCCCTGAGAAATTAATCCCGCAGATAGCGAGCATTCACCCGACTCAGCCCTGACCAATCGCTGCGCGATAAGAGCTGCGTATCTGAACACGAGTTCCGGGTTCGAGTCTAGGAGCGTGTGCTCTTCAAACCAACGCGCGCAACGTCGTTTGGCAGCTGAGCAGAGATGGCCCCTGGGGCGGTCTCAACACGCGCACGACACAGCCGGAGCCGCGAGCCTGGCGAGCTCAGGAGCCTGGCTAGCTCAGGAGCCTTGCCAGCTCAGGAGCCTGGCTAGCTCAGGAGCCTTGCTAGCTCAGGAGCCTGGCGAGCTCAGGAGCCTGGCTAGCTCAGGAGCCTTGCCAGCTCAGGAGCCTGGCTAGCTCAGAAGCCTTGCTAGCTCAGGAGTCTGGCTAGCTCAGCGGTCAGGAGTACTGTTGAGCTCGAGCCGCGCTAGCTGGGTAGTTGACTGGGGAGTACAAGCGCCGGATATGTTGGCGTAACGGGGCTCGGACCGTGCGCAGGCCGAACAGATCCAGATCCGATCCGACCCGACCCCGAACAGAACAGATCCGTGCACCTGCGGTCTGCAGAATCAAAGCACAAGTAATGTCATCCCGGTTAAAGAGCGTTAAGGATGTTTCGCGGCGTTTGCGGCCCACCCAAACAAGGCAATATCATGTATTGTTGCATTTCAAGGCAGATCTTGCGTTTCGTGATTTAGCTCGTGTAAAAACCAAGCAAAGCACAACAAAACACCGTGACCCTCCCGGAGGTACACCTCAAAATGAGCGACAATGCGGATTGTGAGGTCCGTGCTTTTGAAACATCGCGGGAGGGGCAAAACGTCACGGGGTCAAAAGCGGTTAGCGAAAAAGAGAAATGCATAATCTAATCAGGTAAATAAGTATAACGTAACGACTAGGACAAAACTCCGGACATTTAAGTGGCGGCTGACATGGGATCCCGCGGCTCCGAGCTGCGGCTGACATGGGATTCCAGGGCTCCGATTTGCGACTGACTTGGGATTCCGCGGTTCCGAGCTGCGACTGACATGGGGTTCCGGGGCTCCGAGCTGCGGGTGACATGGGATTCCGCGACTCCGAGCTGCAACTGACGTGGGGTCCCGAGGCTCCGCGCTGCGACTGACGTGGGATCCCGCGGTCCCGAGCTGCGGTTGACATGGGGTCCCACGGCTCCGAGCTGCGGCTGACATGGGATCCCGCGGCTCCGCGCTGCGAATGACGTTGGATCGCGCGGCTCCGCACCGCCACTCAAACGGGACGTCTACGACCCCGGGCGGTTATGCCTCGGGTCCTCACGGTGCAGCGTCGCAGCTCCGGCGTGACCTGGGGCCTCCCGGGGCAGCCGTGACTCAGGCCGCTCCTCGGGTGACGTCAGGTGGGAGCCGAGAGGGCGGCCGACGATACAGGAATCGGCATCGGCGATAAACGCGGCACGAACCCGGAACTCCCACCGCCGCTGCTCAAACACCCAGGCGTATACACCGCTCCGCCACCCCAGCGGGCGCGCCGAACACCGCAACACCTCGCGGCGGCCCTCAAGGGCGTGAGCATGGATGCTTTACAGAGGTGGACGCGGAAGGTGCCCCCGAAAGGCGCTCGTTGTCCAGGCGCCGACGGCGGGCGAGGGGGGAGGCACCAGGGAGATGGGGGGGGGGGGGGGGCACCTGGCAGACGGGCAGGGGAGCTGAACGTTCGCCTTTATCCGCGGATGGAGGACGATGACGAAACAAAATGCAATTATTCGTAGAGGTGGTCGAGGTTAGGAAGGCAAGATCATCAGTAAACAGAGGGTAGGCAAGTCCCAGTGAAATACAATTTAGGATGCTAGGATATCGAACGATCAGACTGGGCAAGCGCGCACGGTGTAATCTTAGGTAGTGGCGGAGGATCAGGAGACCAGGATGTGTCAACCGTAGTTTCCGGTTGTAGAGAGTAATTCGGCGGGGAGGTTACATCAAACGTAACGTTCGGTGTCTACGAAACCATTCGGCGAGGCCAGTGTGTCGAACGTGGTTTTCGCTTCTGTTTCCTTTGTTTAAGAGGCGAGGCGTGTGACAGTGGTTGTCCGGCGGAACAAAACGAACATTTAGTTAAATATTTACAGCTGTAGTTAACCACTCGGTGCTCTTATCACAAGCGATGCCATTCTAAATATATGGTCTATTTCAGCTGACACGCCACACCGAGAACTGCCTGATCTCGCCAGCCTACCGCTGACTTCACTCGGTTCCGTGAGATTTCCCCGCCCCAATCTGACCCCGGCAGTTGACCTCTACCTGACAGCTGACCTTGACAGCTGATCCCGGACTTGATCCCGGCAGCTGACCCCCATCTGCCCCCCAGATGACCCTTGACCCCGCCAGTCACCCCGCGCCACTGACCGATTGCGCGCGAATGTCGACTCGAGCTCCTGCAGCTGCTGGGATGTGAAGTGGGTGCGCTGCCGGCGCTGGCGCTTCTTCTTGCCGTCCTTGCCCTCCTCTGTGGTGTCGGCCGACTGCGACGGCTGCTCGCGGGGCTGCTCGCCGCCTGTCGGCACAGAGTAAACGGTCAGCCAGCCGCACAGGCAGGTCAGCGTTAGGGGCTCGCCGCCTGTCGGCACAGAGCAAACGGTCAGCCAGCCGCACAGGCAGGTCAGCGTTAGGGGCTCGCCGCCTGTCGACACAGAGCAAACGGTCAGCCAGCCGCACAGGCAGGTCAGCGTTAGGGGCTCGCCGCCTGTCGGCACAAAACAAACGGTCAGCCAGCCGCACAGGTAGGTCAGCGTTAGGGGCTTTGCTCTGTTAAATAAATTGAGGGGCGGAAGAGCCAAAAATGGCTGAGTCTTCATCCCCCCCCCCCCCCCCTCCGGGGGAAGGGTGGAGAAGGCGTCAGCTATGACTGTCAAGGAACAGGAAGCAGGGAGCGTCAACAGTGGCCATTAGAAGTCATGGAGCGCCGACAGTGAAGAGCAGAGGTCAGCAAATGTTGTCAGCAATGTCACTGGCCAGTGCATGTTAGCAGTGACGGTCAGCGACCGTCGTCATTGGCAGAGATGGTCAGAAATCTGTCGACAGTTACCGTCCACTGTCGCCGGACAGCTTTCTGAGGCTCCGTGGCGTATTGAGGTCACCAGGTTGGATTGAGCCTGGGTGGACGCACGTTAGGCATTCGTAGAAGAACGCCCCCGGGGCCGGGCTTTGCAAAATGGCGGGAAAGTTATTGGACGAAAGGCTCATTTCTAGTGCCTTTCAAACTGATCTTATGCCTGTGCCGTCTACACCCACATCGATAACATATCGGCGGGGAAGGCGAAAGCGGCGAGAAGGAGCGGCAGAGGAAACAGCTGTTCACATCTCTATAACTATGAGCATTAGTCATGTGGTGTCGGACGGAAAGAAACGATGTAAAAATCGTGTCAAATATACTTGTGCATTCCTTCGAAAACATCGACGGCTCATTTTTGGGAAAGATGTCATACAATCATGAACTGTCAATGCAAACGAATCTGAAACGTTTCACCTTCCGAATAATGTGTAATATTCTGAGTGATTAGGGCTTTACGACGCACCACGCTGCTGAAGCTATATGATGCCGCCCGCCTCTCACCCTGCCAGGATAGGATGTAGCATTGTGTGCGATTACGGCTTTACAGTGTACTCTGCTGCTGAAACTATATGATGCTGCCCGCCTCTCACCCTGCCAGGATAGGGTGTAGCATTGTGTGCGATTACGGCTTTACAGTGTGCTCTGCTGCTGAGACTATATGATGCTGCCCGCCTTTCACCCTGACAGGATAGGGTGTAACATTGTGTGCGATTACGGCTTTACAGTGTACTCTGCTGCTGAGATTATATGATGCTGCCCGCCTTTCACCATGAAAGGATAGGGTGTAACATTGTGTGCGATTACGGCTTTACAGTGTACTCTGCTGCTGAGACTATATGATGCTGCCCGCCTTTCACCATGAAAGGATAGGGTGTAACATTGTGTGCGATTACGGCTTTACAGTGTACTCTGCTGCTGAGACTATATGATGCTGCCCGCCTTTCACCATGGCAGGATAGGGTGTAACATTGTGTGCGATTACGGCTTTACAGTGTACTCTGCTGCTGAGACTATATGATGCTGCCCGCCTTTCACCATGAAAGGATAGGGTGTAACATTGTGTGCGATTACGGCTTTACAGTGTACTCTGCTGCTGAGACTATATGATGCTGCCCGCCTTTCACCCTGGCGGGATAGGGTGTAACATTGTGTGCGATTACGGCTTTACAGCGTACTCTGCTGCTGAGACTATATGATGCTGCCCGCCTTTCACCATGAAAGGATAGGGTGTAACATTGTGTGCGATTACGGCTTTACAGTGTACTCTGCTGCTGAGACTATATGATGCTGCCCGCCTTTCACCCTGGCGGGATAGGGTGTAACATTGTGTGCGATTACGGCTTTACAGCGTACTCTGCTGCTGAGACTATATGATGCTGCCCGCCTTTCACCCTGGCAGGATAGGGTGTAGCATTGTGTGCGATTACGGCTTTACAGTGTACTCTGCTGCTGAGACTATATGATGCTGCCCGCCTTTTACCCTGGCAGGATAGGGTGTAGCATTGTGTGCGATTACGGCTTTACAGTGTACTCTGCTGCTGAGACTATATGATGCTGCCCGCCTTTCACCCTGGCAGGATAGGGTGTAGCATTGTGTGCGATTACGGCTTTACAGTGTACTCTGCTGCTGAGACTATATGATGCTGCCCGCCTTTCACCCTGGCAGGATAGGGTGTAACATTGTGTGCGATTACGGCTTTACAGCGTACTCTGCTGCTGAGACTATATGATGCTGCCCGCCTTTCACCCTGCCAGGATAGGGTGTAACATTGTGTGCGATTACGGCTTTACAGTGTACTCTGCTGCTGAGACTATATGATGCTGCCCGCCTTTCACCCTGGCAGGATAGGGTGTAACATTGTGTGCGATTACGGCTTTACAGTGTACTCTGCTGCTGAGACTATATGATGCTGCCCGCCTTTCACCCTGGCAGGAGAGGCAATCACAATGCGGAACGTTGCAAAACATCATGTGCACGAACAAGCGAGATTACGCCCTCTAAAACATACGTATTATCAAAAATAGTCCTTTATGAGCGATCACAAATGTATCATCCTCCAAAGGTATGACCGAAATTGGCCCCGGGCGGCTCAGCCGGGCTTTATGAAGCCAGGCCGCTGCGTCACCGGCCGACCGCTAACCAGCTGGAGCGGTGAACACCCTTACGGTCCGACCGCTAACCAGCTGGGGCGGTGAACCACTTCACCGACCCACCGCAAACCAGCTTGGGCGGTGAACACCCTCACCGGCCGACCGCTAACCAGCTGGAGCGGTGAACACCCTCACCGGCCGACCGCTAACCAGCTGGAGCGGTGAACACCCTCACCGACCCACCGCGAACCAGCTGGGGCGGTGAACGTCCTCACCGACCCACCGCGAACCAGATGGGGCGGTGAACACCCTCACCAGCCGGCCGCTAACCAGCTGGAGCGGTGAACACCCTCACCGGCCTATCGCTAACCAGCTGGAGCGGGGAACACCCTCACCGACCCATCGCGAACCAGCTGGGGCGGTGAACACCCTCACCGGCCGACCGCTAACCAGCTGGAGCGGTGAACACTCTCACCGATCGACCGCTAACCAGCTGGGGCGGTGAACACCCTCACCGGCCGACCGCTAACCAGCTGGGGCGGTGAACACCCTCACCGGCCGATTGGTCCAGCTGATGAGCTTTTTATCGCGCGGGCAAACTCATCCGGCTGATCCAAACAATAACACGGGCCGGCACGGCCGCGCCGGGGCGCGCCAAAACGGGCGCGCGAACGGCGCCGACACCGACCGGGCTGTGGGAGCGACGACAGCGACGGAAGGGACGGAGCGACGGAAGGGACGGAGCGACAGAGCGAAAGGAGCGGCGGGAGTGATGGAAGGGACGGAGCGACAGAGCGAGAGGAGCGACGGCAGCGATGGAAGGGACGGAGCGACAGAGCGAGAGGAGCGACGGCAGCGATGGCAGTAGCGAGATAAAATGTCCCACACACATTTGGCAAGGGAGGTACGGGCACGGGTGGGTTGAACATGGTAATAAGCGCCAGATTAAACACTATGAGAGGATGCGCTATGTGACACTTGCCACACCGCAGCTGCCAGATCTGTGTGGCAGCAGCTATGGCCAGTCGCGTTTGAGTTACCAAAATCCTAGCATTCCTTTTTTTCTTCTGGCGCTTCATTGATCTACTATTGTTCACGTCAATTCTACCATTCCAGTTATAGCTTATGCATGAGCCCGCTGGTCTTTGCTGCTTTGTAAGTCTTTTTGTTGCTTTTTGGTAGGCTTCTTCCAATAGTTAGAAGGCCAGCGAAGACCCCTCCAAAAGCGAAATTAAATCCTCCCGTGTGGTTATGACTGGCGGGAGACCAGCATCACCAGACCAGCATCACCAGACCAGCATCACCAGACCAGCGTCACCAGACCAGCATCACCAGACCAGCATCACCAGACCAGCATCATCAGACCAGCGTCACCAGACCAGCATCACCAGACCAGCATCACCAGACCAGCATCACCAGACCAGCATCACCAGACCAGCATCACCAGGCCAGCATCACCAGACCAGCATCACCAGACCAGCATCACCGGACCAGCATCATCAGACCAGCATCACCAGACCAGCATCATCAGACCAGCATCACCAGATCAGCATCATCAGACCAGCGTCACCAGACCAGCATCACCAATATGCACCAGGCGGCCAATTTGATAACACACAAACAAGGGGCAGCCAGGAGGGCCAGCAAGAACAAAACAGCAAAAACAAAAACAAAAACAGCGTCATGGGATCGGAGTCACGGTCTTAAGTGAATATTTATGAACGCACGAGCGACTTTCAGACACCCAATCCAGCGGTCAGGCAATCAGGAACCGTTTAGATCATTAACGCAGTGGGAAAAAGAGATGACCTGAAAGGGATTGGGTACATCAATGGTATTTTGTCATGCTAATATGCTTAAATATGGAGCCTACCTTGATCAGTTACGTGAGCTTTTATTTTGATCAGATTCTTCTAGCAATCATCCCGTGAGGAAGCGCCACATGGCGGGATGTCAATGAAAAGTCGAGGAAAGGTCCCAGTGACGGGTGGAGGCTGGAGCTGTCTGATCTGCTGCGAGAAGACGGCGTTTTCTCACTTTTTGGAACTCATCAGGCTTGTCTCCCCAAACCTGAGGTGCCACAATACCAACGCGTGCTAAGACCACTGCAACCTACAAACGAATCCACGTGTTTTTCTCGTCTCCGTCGCCACCGTCGCCACTGTGAAGTTAAGCTTCACGAAACTCCGTCCCTGGCAACACCTGCCTAGCAAGGAAAGGATTGGGCCTCTACGCATGTGCGTTTCCTCACGCCTCAGCTGTCGTGCGCCGCCCGCTGATGGGACGGAGAGGCGGACCACCCGCTGTCGGTGGTCCTTCCAGAGCAGGACGAGAACGCCGCCGGTGGTCCT